GGCGGGGGGGAGGGCCTCCGGGGGGGGGGCAGCCCATGCGCGCCTGGGATGCCCCGCCGCCGGCTTCCCCCGAGGCTTTCAAAGCCACGGAGGGGCTCCGGCGGCGGGGCATCCGGCGTACAAGACGACCCCCGATTTTGGGGGGATGTTTTTTAACATCAGAGGTCGTCTTGTACGCCGGAATATACGGTATATGCCGAGTCTGATTACAGGAGACAAATTTGCAAACCCTCTAAAAATCTTGCTTTCTTGTAAGTGGAATTGTGTTTTTTTTGTTTTGTTTGTTTTTAATAAAAATTGTATAGAGAGTAAGAGGCAACTTTCTGCAAAACCTTAGTGATGTGTTAATTATTGCATAAAAATAGAATAGTGGTAGAAATGTAGCCATGTTAGTCTGGTGCAGCTGAAACAAAAAACAGGACTGACCCACGAAAGCTCATCATCTATTAAACCATCTTGTTAGTCTTTAAAGTGCTACACAGTCCTGTTTTTTGCATAAAAGTAGACTTTCCAGGACTTGTCAAATTCAAACATAGCTGAGGATATTTGAATTAATCTAATGATATTCCTTATAATACCTGTAAATATCAGGAACAGCAAAAACAGCTATTCAAAATAAATTGGCATTGCCTTCTTAAAACAGTTTTACCATATTTATGGTGATTATGTCATTTAACAACAGGTTGTTTATACCAGTAGAATTAAATAGGATTTTCAGTGTTAGGGCATCTGAACAGCGTTTTCGAGAACTACTACATTTCTTGATTGGCTGAATATTTTATTGCTTTAAATTTGAATTAATATGTTATGGGATGCCAAGCAGTGGGAAACGTGATTTGAATAGTTAAGAGAGAAGCAAAATAGCAGTTATTTGTTCTGAAATCTCTTTTAAGTTCACTGTATGTGAATATATTGACTATTTTGAGACTCATAGGTTGTCACGATGCAAAGGCACTTATTCCTGATTATAAGATGTTACAATTAGCATCTCTTCAAGAATTTGAACCACAATCGTTCTACATCACTGACTTATATATTCCATGGGTCTCATGGCTCATAATTCTGACATTGCACGTAAACCATTATCACCTTACCAAATACTTAAAAACATGGCGCTTCCAAATGTAAAATCATAAAGAATACCAGGTATCTTCTCCTGATGTTCTTAGAAAGTTGAAAAGCTGAGTTCTCTCTTTTCAGTATCCTCCTGAATTGAATAATCCTACAACAAATCTGTCAAGAATTTGCAATGCAAAAATACTCATCTAACCATCAGGGCTGGGGGGAGGGGAAGGAGGAGAGAGTGTGAGTGTGAGAGAGAGAGAGAGAGAATTTTGTGTCAAAACTCATTACAAGGTTAGCCTTCTACAATAAAAAGTAACTCTACAGTATTAACTGTTGCTTACCATATTTATCTTTTGTATGGAAGAGGTTTTTGACTTTTCATTCCTCTAGCATGTTTCAGGTACATCAGATCCCACCCGCGTGCATGTATATTTTCCTGTAGAATCAGTCAAATCAAGTCTTTACATTTTCATTTAAACACATTTGTTAACTATAGGGTATGCATACAAATCAGAACAGTGATCTTATAACTAAATTTATTTTCCTCCTTTTGTAGGTGTGGACACTGCCAACGTTTGCAACCAACTTGGAATGATCTGGGAGACAAATACAACAACATGGAAGATCCACCAGCCTATGTTGTAAAAGTGGATTGCACTGTAGAAAGTACATTGTGCTCTGAATTTGGAGTCAGAGGATACCCCACGTAAGGATGTGTGCTTTTGTTATTTTGTATGTTTTTCCTCTGCCAGTTTGCTGAGAGCAAGTTTTAAAAGTTATGATTGTTGGTGGATTCCTTTGTAGTTCTTTGGTCTTTAGAAGCTAAATTTTAAGACAAGATGATCTATAGTACCTCTTATTTTATATACCATTTTACAGCTTGGAATTTAATTGTGGTTAAACAATCTTCAGAATAGGCCTTTCTCTCTCCCCCCACACCCCCTTTAAGAGAACATGTCTTTGAGACAGTAATGTAACATACAGCAGTGAGATGCTAGTATAGGGCTCAGCAACCTTTGCTGCATGCGCTGGCAGGCCACGACACATTTTGTTTATGTTGACTGTCCACAGGCATGACCCCTGGCAGCTCCCAGTGGCTATGGTTTGCCATTCCCAGCCACTGGGAGCTACAGGAAGCAGTGGCCAGCACATCCCTGTGCCACTTCCCATAGCTTCCATTGGCCAGGAACGGCAAACTGTGGCCACTGCGGGGATGGAGGTGGGAATGTGTCTGTGGACAGTCAACATAAACAGAATGTCTTGCGGCCTGCCAGCAGGTTACTCTGATAGGCCTTGTGCCAAAGGTTGCTGACTCCTCTACTAGTAGTTTAAAACTATTTTAACTACTTTCAAATAATTTGTCAGTTATCCAACTGTATATAGCACAACCAATGTAGTGGATATAAAGGATCTCTAAAACTTGTGTGTGATTTTGGTGATCATAAAACTGATACATTAATAACACCATCTAAAGTGAGAGTTGCTTTACGTGGTTTTGCAATAATGAGGCTTGAAAAATTTAGCTCTTGCTTATGAACTTGAGTACTAAACCTATTATCTTTTAAACCTTTCTTATTATGACGGTGAATAGGTTTACCAGTAAGGGCCAACTTAATGTCTTGGTGAGAAGGCTCACATCTGGCCTCTGAGATTCTTGAAAAGAATATGAGCTGGAATTTCTACCAGATAGATAAACCTTTGCTTAAAGCACATCAGTCCAAACTTCAGCACTCCTGCTAGCTTAGCGCTGACCTCTCTTGAGCATTTTGTATAGCTTTGTGAATAAACATCTTATTTATGATGAGAGGGTACTGTACATCTACGCAGTATGTGCAAAAAAAAAAAAGAAAACCTATGGCAGCGAGTTTTAGAACCTGGGTCAACTGACATGGGGTCATGTTGCAAGGCTAAAAATGGCAGTGTATGTGCTTGGGCTGAAGGCTGGGCACTGAGTCCTTCACACTGGTTGGGTTTCAGAGCCTAAGCACCAGTCTGAGCCCAGATTTCTACACTGTTTTTAGCCCTCCAATGTAATCCTGAGTCAGTTGACCCAAGTTCACTGCTCAGTCTTGTCAGTTGCACAAATGCTAATATTTAAGATGATGGACCAGCAGAGATTAAAAGTAGTGTACTGTTTCTTGTGGTTCATATCAATACAGATCTCATAACTTATCAGTGCTTTCTATCAATTGAGTATTCTCTTTTTCTGAATGGAGTTTGTCAGTACTACCTCGTTGGCAGAGCATTTTAATTAGGAGCTAGGAACTGCAGTAAATAGTAATAGGATAATGTTGAAAGTAATGGGGCAATTGCAGTTGAGACAAAGCTGATTCTGGTCTGAGCTAGCTTAGACATACAAGTAAAAAAAATGTATGTGATCGAGACAGCCAGGAAAAGCTTTCAGTGTTGGCGCAAGGGGAGAGAACAGTATGCCTTCAGGGTTCTAATTCTGCATATAGAGGTCTGGATTGGAGATTTGAAAGTTAAACTTCCATGATGACTATTGGGGGAAGGATGTTTGTTTTAATGGTTGTACAGTATAGAATTCCTGGTCCCCCCCACCTCCCACGCTCTCATAAATCTGAAAGTATCCTTAAAAACTTAAAAAAAAAACCCAACTAACTCTCAGTTATGTTGTGGCATGCAAGTAAACGCTGTTCCATATGTCAGTCATTTTTAACACATAATGGCTACGTCTACACTGGCCCCTTTTCCGGAAGGGGCATGTTAATTTCACCTATCGTAGTAGGGAAATCCGCGGGGGATTTAAATATCCCCCGCGGCATTTAAATAAAAATGTCCGCCGCTTTTTTCCGGCTTTTAAAAAAGCCGGAAAAGAGCGTCTACACTGGCCCCGATCCTCCGGAAAAAGCGCCCTTTTCCAGAGGCTCTTATTCCTACTTTGAAAGTAGGAATAAGAGCCTCTGGAAAAGGGCGCTTTTTCCGGAGGATCGGGGCCAGTGTAGACGCTCTTTTCCGGCTTTTTTAAAAGCCGGAAACAAGCGGCGGACATTTTTATTTAAATGCCGCGGGGGATATTTAAATCCCCCGCGGATTTCCCTACTACGATAGGTGAAATTAACATGCCCCTTCCGGAAAAGGGGCCAGTGTAGACGAGCCCAATGGCTTTTGTTGCATATGAGCAGATTGAGGATTGAGAACTATGTTAGGAAAGTGCTTGTTGAAATGGGAGTTCTCTTCCCTGGGAACAGCTTGCAGCTTCAATCCCAATGGAAACACTGAGTGGCAGGCATTTTTAGGAGGGGCCCCATCACTTCCCCACTAGAAAAATGATGATTATCTTTGAGGACATGAGTAGCTTCACAGTCATTGGGTCATTCAGTCCTTTTGTAAATTATGGAAAATGGCAGCCATGTTGAGTCAGTACACACTGTTATAAAGGGTAAGATGGGTGGAGAGAGTGCAATTAAGGATAGATGGTACTGATCCTATAGGTGTAGTAGCTTCATCTGCCTGGAAGCGTGAATGATAAATGAGCCATTTGGTAATAAAAGGCTTAGTCATATTTACAGGGTGAAGTGTGCTGTAAGTTACTTTTCAGACTCCTTTAAGTGTACTGCTCAATGGGAAAGGTGGTGCTTCTTTCAGCTTTTCAGGGGTGTAATGCTGCAGTTTATTACTCTTAACACTGATAGTCTATGTTGCTGTATTCTTTCTCTCTCAGTATCTCCCCTCTTCCCTTCTTTTTTCCTCTGTGTATTTTTAACTGTTTATGCTCTTTTGTGTATCTAGGCTCTGGTTTGGTAAAACAGCTCTGTCACTTTTGGATAGCCTGGACAGAGCATCTTTCCAGCTGTTGTTCCCTTAACTCCCTTGATGTTGTTTACCTCTAGTTCTCTTATCTCTGACCATTGCTTAATTTCCTGCTTGGTCTTCAGACAGAATACTATCGAGCAAGTAAACTGGTGTACATAAAATATTCATGCAAATACCTGTAATATGAGTATCTCCATCATTTTCCACAGAGCCATGCACTGGAATTTTTAGGATCTGATTTTTTAAATTTATTTTTTACACCAACTAAATAACAGTTTGTTGAAAATTCCCAGGAAATTCAGTCTTTACATATTGGTTGTATGCTGTACAGCTGAGGAGGAAAATGCATTGTATTCTTCATATGAAACAAAGATACTGAATATACAGATCTATGGAGGGAGGGGAACGGAACCTCATCTTAATAAAATAGAGATGCTACCATAGTTGTAGGATCCTTTAAGCCAACTTCTTAAATGATGTTAAGGATATCCCTCAGAAGATGCATCAAAGGGAAAGATAAGCAATTCAGACTACATAGTTCTTTTTATTTTTTGTTGACTTCTTAAAGGGACAATATCTTAAAAACCACACATTTATCTGTGTTTTTAACCTAGTATTGTACCAGCAATGTATAATACTATAAATGAAAGTGGTTAAATGGAGGGGTTTTGTTCTTTTTAAATTTGTATCCCTCTTGCTTTTGACAATACTTTTGCATAATGATTTTTAGAAGTTGTGAAGGCTCTGGATAGAAACACAGTACAGCAGGGGTGGGGAGGCCATTCCAAGATTTTAGAAAAACTCTTTCATTATATTAATGGAGGAGGTGCAGGGTCTATGATGGTGCAGAAGGGAGCTTAGAGTAAGGGATTGGGGTGCGGTATGTTGGAGGGAGTTTGGGTGAAGCAGGCAGTTGTGACTTGGGGCATAGGACAGGAGTGGGTTGTGACCTAGGGCAGGGGACTGTAGTGCAGGGGTTTGGATTGTGACCTTGTACAGGTGATTGGGATGCAGGGCCTGGGAGGGGTACAGAGGGTTTGGTTTATGTGGGGTGGGGAATAGGAGTGGGGGGGACAGAGGGCTGGGGAGAGAGAGGGCCTGGGATGCCAGAGGCATGCTCTGACCAGGAAACGTACCTGGATGATTCCCGGCCAACAGTCTAGCAGGGTTGTCAGGCAGCTTCCCTGCCTGCCCACCCCTGCAAAGGCTGCAGGGGCCACGTGCGATAGTGACTAAGAGCCTAAGAGGAGAGGGGAGGGTGCTTCAATCACTACCTGTTCTTCAAACAGGCAGCTCTCATTGCCCAGAAATCGACCAATGGGATTGTGCTGAGGGCAGGAGCAGCTCGTGAACCAGCACTCCCGCCTCTCCTGGGCTTGCAGCTGAGAAAGAGAAATGGCTGGGGCGCTTTTCTGAGTGGTGCAGGAGGGGCATGGAGCAAGTAGAGAGTCTGCTTGATGTCCCCCGCTGTGTCCGTGAGCCAGATCTGGTGGCTTCGCGGGCCAAATCTGGCCCCCTGCCGTATTTTGCCCAGTCCTGTAGTAAAGAAACATTTAGAAAAATATGGTTGTAAAACAACAAAAATTAGCAAAGGAAATCAAGGATAGGCATAATAATTTAAATTAATTTTAACTCGGTTAAAAAAATCTCAATTTGATGGCGTCCCTTTAAAATTCCACTATTTTAAACAAATATAATTTCCAGTTTTAAGTGAGGCATCTATTTAGTAGGAAAAGGTTGAGATATTTAGGTATTTTGTTAAACAGATTTTATTTAAGTATGTATTTATATAACCAGTAAAACTGCATTTGCAATTTTCACCTGTTTTTTCACCTTATTCATCTGCTTTAATTCTACTTTTAATCAGTTTAATACAGCATGAGAAGTGGTATGTGATCAAGGACATGCATATTTGCATGGCACAAAACAGTGCAGAGAAATTCCTGGAAAATGAACTTTTTGTTTTTGTACATACTGAAAAAAATTAACGGATGCTTTTTTTGAAAAATGAAAAGTAGGATTCACAAGTATAAACAGGATTTAACGTCTGAATTCAAGTTTCTAGCATTTTGTTCACGATTGCATGTAAATCTGAGGGCATGTTTGTATGTTAAACACAACATATGATATTTCTATCTTCGCTTTTAACGCTTAAAGGAGAATAAAAGAGATTTGTTAGAGGGCCCAGTTCTGCATCGTGGATGTAAATGGCCTCAATTAGGCCTCAATTGGAGTGTTGTGTCCAGTTCTGGGCACTACATTTCAAGAAAGATGTGGAGAAATTGGAGAAGGTCCAGAGAAGAGCAACAAGAATAAACATGACCTATGAAGGAAGTCTGAAAGAATTGGGCTTGTTTAGTTTGGAAAGGAGAAGACTGAGAGGGGTATGAAAGCAGTTTTCAGATATCTAAAAGGGTGTCACAAGGAAGAGGGAGAAAACTTGTTCTCCTTGGCCTCTGAGGATAGGACAAGAAACAGTGGGCTTAAACTGTAACAAGGGAGGTTTAGGTTGGACATCAGGAAAGACTTCCTAACTTTCAAGGTGGCTAAACACTGGAATAAGTTGCCTAGGGAGGTTGTGGAATCTCCAACTCTGGAGATATTTAAGAGCAGGTTAGACAGACATCTATCAGGGATGGTCTAGAGAGCATACTGGGTCCTGCCATGAGGGCAGGGGACTGGACTTGATGACCTCTCGAGGTCCCTTCTAGTTGTAGTGTTCTATAATTCTAAAGGGGAAGTGTGATTTTAATGTCAGGCTTCAGGGCTGAGTTCATTTATGTTATTGGAACAAAGTTCATTTATTTCCAGAACATGTTTCTTGTTTGTATGTATTTGAAAAGTTTTGCCTTATCTCATTGTACTTTTTTAATTTTTCAGGCTAAAGCTGCTTAAACCAAACCAAGAACCTGTGAAATACCAAGGTCCTAGAGACTTCCAGGCATTGGAAAGCTGGATGCTGCAGACACTAAATGAGGAACCTGCTGAAAGGGTATGTCTACACTACAGCACTAATTCGAACTAAGCTAATTCGAACTAAGCTAATTCGAACTAAGCTAATTCGAACTAAAAACTAGTTCGAATTAGCATTTTGCTAATTCGAACTAGCATGTCCACGTTGAGTGGACCCTGAACCGAGGTTAAGGATGGCCGGAAGCAGTGCCGGCAGGGCATCAGATTAGGACTTAAGAGTGTGGAGCTGCTGTCTCAGGCTAGCCGAGGGCTGTGCTTAAAGGGACCCGACCCCCACCCCAGACAGACAGTTCTCAGGGGTTCCCTGCTCGCTTGTCTAACTCGATGAGGGACAGCAAAGCAGTCCTGGCTGGGAGTGCCCTGAATGCCCACACTCAGCACATCACAGCACTCGGCCATCAGCCCGGCTGCCCTTGCCGCAAGCTGCTATCCGGGGG